ATAGGAAAGAAATAAAGGCGGGAGGGCAACACTTAAGCCGAGCCATAATTGGAAGTATGTGAAAAATGAAGTGTCAGTTTGGTCAATAAAGGGCAAAGGTCAAGGGGAACCGGAGCCCAAACTCTGCGCGAAATGTGCTCATTAAGACATCCAATCAGCGTGGTCCTTCCCACCTATCCCATTATTCATCGGACAGCTGACTGTTTCAAATGCCCGGGTTTGGGCTGTTATTACTTTTCTTCTTCATGTAAAAAGGCGAGCTGGTATATAAATCGTTGCTCAGTCATCTGGAACACAATGTGGCCCTTCCCCACCCCCTCTAGGCAGCTCTGCCTGCCGGCTTCCCAGGTCTGCCTTGAGATTCCCCTCAATAACAATATGGAATTGCCTTCTGCCTATAGGTTGCCTGAACTCATACAAAAGCTGGTGTGGAGGGGGTGGGGCAGTGGGCGGCTTTGCAACTATTGATACATTATTATAACGAAATAGCAGTGCTTTTCAATTATCCTTCTTTCAAGAAACATGCTGGGTTTGCTTTTTTCCTCGCCCAGTGGTAACTATTGTTAGTATGAGTCCTGCCCCCAAGAGGAGAAGTTCAGTGGGTTTTAGAGGTACCAGCAACCACCTTTAGGGTTGAAATGTTTCACATCAAATTCCAATGTCGAAATCACACTTTATCTTCACAAAAGAGGAAAATTCGATGAGCTTTAAGTAGGAAATGTTTCACAAGAGAAATACCCTCACTTGTTTTCTATGCTCTTATTCTCGATTCAATAAGTCTTGGAGTGAAATGATATGGGCTCTTAATACATAATACAAATTAATCATATCAGTCATCAGGCTCCTTCTGCAAATAGCTCAGTCTCCATTCTACTCACACACAACACTGGGCTCTCGCTCCCCGAGCAGAGTCTCAGCTGACTCTGTCTCATTCAAGGCTATGTGTTCAGGACAGACCACAACACTGGGCCTACCACAGACATCTAACTGGGAAAAGGGATCCAACTGCTAACAGAAAAAAGGTCCCACAGGTGATCTGGCTCGTTTTCCTAAGCTGCACCAAAGAATGACAACCCAAAGGATATGGCACCTGGGAGCTCGGGCTCTGGAGTCAGATGTTCAGAGTTTCAAGTCTCAACTAGACCACCAACCAGAAGGTGGCCTTGGGCAAGTCTTCTAGCCTCTCTGATCCTCCATAACCTTGGTGCACAGACTGAGGGGATGGAAATAGCCACACTGACTGACAGTGTTTAATGTCCTACTTTAATATTTTATTACTATCATTTATTCACTCTCTAGACTTTGTATCAAAGGCAGAAATGTGCCCAGACTCAAACTGTGGCCAAAGCTTCTTGCAAAGCAGAGTAGCTGCAACAGCTCCTGAGAAGGAGAGAGAATCTGGAGGAAAGAGGTACCAGGATTGCTTGATGTTCTCCTCTAAACACACACAGTAGGATAAAAAAAAGAAGCACACGCTTCTCTGCCATCATATTATCAGGCATTACTTGTGAGTCCTAAGATCCTCTCTCCCCGAAGTCCAGGACCAAAATCCCAGGGCTCACTGTGACAGTTCCTGTCCCATATTTCTGAGCTACTTGCTTTTCTCCTACATAATGGGAAAGCAGTAAATAATTGACAGGAAGAAAATAAGAATTTAATCTAATATCTTTGGAAATGCTTTGAGGAAGTTAAAACAGTAGACAAAATCAATGTTGTGGCAACTACAGCAGAATCCTCAACCAAATATAGATGTGAAGCCTCCCTTTTAAATGTCAATTTAAAGGGCTTCACTATTAAAGAATCAATTTCCTGCAAGGTGCCACAAGTGTTAATATTAAATGAAAGCGGATGACATGGGCAGAGTTGCCATGATGAATAATTTTAGCTGTTGGAAAGATTATGTAAATCATGAATAAACATTAATTCCCTGAATAATAATATCTGTGGTGTTTTCTTAATTACATATCTTATGGACATTCTCCCTAGCCTGCTCATAATTAAATTTTTATTTCATTTTTGTGCTTATATAAAAATGTGTTCTATAACTATTTCATCATTTGCAACAGCCATTAACTTAGAAAATTATCAGGTACTGCAAATTCCCAAATTTGCTAGAACCTTAACCAGGAACTGATGGGTACTGTCTTTTGGAATCCATCAGAACATTAAAATTTTCCCATATAACTTATTTTATTTACTTTGAAATTTCAAAAGACTAGGACTCAATTGACATATATTATAGCCTGATACATGTCTGCATCATGCAACTGATAGGCTATTTAACAGAAGGCTAAAGCCTACAGGATTTCTTTCTTTTTTCCTATTTCTTTACATTTTTTTGGTATCATAAGCACCACAATGAAGTGGTAAAAACTGAAAAGAAATGAGTAAAAAAAGAAATACAGTACAAATAATATAGTAGAGAAAGTTTTAAAATATGTATTACTCCTGCCTGTGGGGGAAACACCTCTTTGGATATGTTCTTGACAGATTGAGTTATTTCTGTCTATTGGGTATGTATAAAGACATATTTATGGATTTATAAATCTTTTGAAGAGGGCTGTTATTTACCCAGTTGACTAAAATGAACTCAAACTGTGTAAATAACTATTTAGGACATGTACTATGGGCCAAATGCTGGCACCGTTTACACGTCTGGGCCTGCCAGAAAAGGCAGACAGGGGAAACATGGAAAAGCCACTGTGCACAGTTAATCTGAAGGCTGCACAAAGACTCAGCTCCACAGGTCTCAGGGATGAAAAACGAGGTTTAGAAGGGTCGTGTTTGGCATGGAAATGTGCATAAAGTGTTGCAGTAACATTTGCAAGCACCATTCTGCATTTAGCAGCAATAAATCTCATTGCCAAAGAAAACCCACCAAGGCAGGGTTAGGGAGGCGGAAGGTGTGGCTCTCACCACCACTGTCCAGCAGGTAGAGGCCAGGGAGGGGATGACAGCACAGACAGCTGCTATTGCATCTCACTGGCCCGAACTTTGTTCTTTGGTGGAGATATGAGGAACAGGATATGATGAGAAGCGTTTTGTGTTTATCATTGGGACACTGAAATTTTAGGTTCTGCACTGCACTGGGACCTCACTATGTCCCAAAGCCAGCCACATGTTATTTTCCACATCTGTGAAATGGGGCTGCAGCTGCTTCATCTGCCATCAGGATTGTTTTAAATGGTTCAACTGAGGCCACTCACGTGAGATGATTCATGTAGTTGTCTTAAATTTAAAAAGACATACTGAGAAAAAATATAAAAAGAAACATTCTAAATGCCAAACCAGTATTGTGAAAAGTACATGCTTCCTGGTTACAATCAAATTCATTATTAAATAGGTCTTGGAAGATCACTTGATGAAATCAGAAAAGAAGCACCAGATTTTTAATTCTTTCTCATGCTCACTAGAGGAGAAGGGCGCATACCCCTCTGAAAAATCTTCCTGTTAGGGTGTGCTTGAGAAAACTTACACATTACAGTCTTACATTCAAGTACATTTCAGCAGTTCTCAAGCCTTTATGGGCAGTTCAAGCTCCTGCCTTTCTTAGATGATATATGTTTTAAAAAGCAAGAAATGAAAAAGAAACAAACAAAATGCTAGGCTATGACCCCATGTAGCAATTCTAGGATATGGGAAAAAGATTTTAGATGCCATTTACACCGCTTTGAAAACTCACAGTGTAAATATGAATTCTGAAAGTCAGGCTTTCTGTTGAAAGTGCTGATATCACCTTAACTCTAGCTCTGTGAACAGCGGTGCCATAACATATACATACACTCCTGAAAGAAAAAAGAACCCTCGGATTTATGCTGCTTATCATCTTCCAGTAAAAGTCAGAAGTCAGAGGTCACCTGCTTCTGCCTCGGCTCTGGACTAGTTTACTGTTCCACGCTCCATTTTTACTAGGCTTACACTTCTGATGAAGTCAGCAACTTTTCTTTGAACAATAAAATGTCTCAAATGCTTAAAATTTTATTTGTAGAAGTTATTCCCAGGGCAAATAGCATACATGTACCTTAAAAGAAACCTGAATTTTCCTGCTCTGGTTTTCACATTAATCATGCTATATTCACTTTGCAATTCTAGTTGGTGTAGTCCAACTAAGTTAGACAACAAAATTCCTTGGTTGTCCAACAGCGCTCCCAGCAAACATGATCACAAAACCAGATTTTAAAGTATATATCTACTTCAGACTCACAGTCAACTTCAATAAACTAGTCTTTTTATATTCAGATAAAGAATTCACTTTAAACGTTAATTGCATTAATTGAACACAAAATCTACTGCATTAGGGCCCCATCAAAAGAGTAAGACATTTGACTATTCATTCATCTTTTTGCTGAACTCTCACTTGGTGTTTAAACTTTATTTCCTATTAGTTATAGTCAAACAGGTACATTTGTGGACACCCACATAAACACACAGGTATGGGCATTCAAAGCACAGCACAAGCTAAGTTGCTATCTCTCCCTGATTCCATTTAATATGGCCTTGCAATGAAGTCAAGCCCTTAAGAAAATGAAATAAGTAAAACCAGAAACATGGCCTCAACCTCATGCAGAGGGAAGCCCGCTTAGGTTGCCCTCTAATCATCTTAAGACACCAATGTTCACTTGGAATCATAGTGGAGATTTCTTGATGACCCCTTGAAAAGCCCTGAAGGGCAAGTGGGAATAATACATTCTATTTGTATAGAAGGGCATTAGTGCCATCCTGCTTATCCACATCTGAACTTCTAATCTGCTTCTCTAATCTTGCCCTCAGTCAACCCACTGACCCTGTTTCACAGAGGTGACCAGGTGACACCAGCCGTTAGGCAGCTGGGATGGCAGAAAGGAAGAATTAGGGAACTGATCAAGATGAGCTGATTCTCAAACTGTGTAGAATTTATACTCTAGGAGAAACTGTCTAGGTACTAACCAACCAGACGTTTCTGATTTTTCAACCCTTGAAATGAAACAAATAGCAAAAGAGAATGAGAACAGCTCTCCTACCTTGCTCACTGCTGTTATCCCCACTGTGTGACGTGTGGCCCCCACTGGAAGGGCCTGGGGTTCCTCCTGAACGGGTGGATGCTGTGTCATCATGATCTCTGTTCCAAGAGGG